AGGCCTCTGGGACAATATCAAGTGTACTAACATTCGCATCATAGGGGTACCAGAAGGAGAAGAGAGAAAGTAAGGGATTAAGAATCTGTTAGAGGAAATAATAACTGAAAACTTCCCTAACCTGGTGAAGGAAATGGACATACAAGGCCAGGAAGTACAGAGAATCCCAAACAAGATGAACCCAAGGAGGCCCAAACTAAGACACATCGTAATTAAAATGCCAAAGGTTAAAGACAAAGAGAATCTTAAAAACAGCAAGAGAAAAACAGTTAGTTACCTACAAGGAAGCTCTCCTAAGACTGGCAGCTGACTTCTCAAAAGAAACTATACAAGACAGAAGAGTTTGGCACAAAATATTCAATGTGATGAAAACCCAGGATCTACAACCAAGAACACTTTATACAGCAAAACTACCATTTAGAGTTGAGGGACAGATAAAGAGCTTCCCAGACAAAAATAAGCTAAAGGAATTTATCAATACCAAGCCAGTATTACAGGAAATTTTGGAGGGACTTCTTTAGGAAGAAAAAACATGTATCAAAAACAAGAATAAAGAATGGTAACAACTATATTCTTATCAATAAGTACCTCAAGTGGAAAAGAATTAAGTTCTCCAACCAAAAGATAGAGTGGCTGAAAGAATAAGAAAAGAAGACCCCTACAGGTGCTGCCGACAAGATACTCACTTCAGATTAAAAGACACACAGACTAAAAGGAAGGGAATGGAAAAAGATATTGCTTTGATGGACCTAGAAGGTATTCAAGTCAGACAGAGAAAGATAAACACTATATGATTTCACTTATATGCATAATCTAAGGAATAAAAAGAACAAACTAATCAAAAACAGACTCACAAATATAGTAGACAATTCGGTGATGAACAGAGAGGAGAGGGTGTTGGGGTTTATGAGAATGGGGTGAAGGGTTAAAGAAATACAAATTAGTAGCTGATGGATGGTCATGGGAATGGGGAGCACGGCATAGGGAATGCAATTAGCATGAATACGTTGGCTAGGTGGAGGATCAGGGAAGGGAGGGAGCAATTGGAAAGATGATTTTACAAACTATATAGATGTTTAACCAATGTACTGTGTACTTGAAACTAATTAAAATAAATAAATTTTTAAAAAGTCATTAGCTTAAAAAATGTCTTAATACTCTTGCTATAATTAGATAGCACATGCCTGTGGGTAGGTAACTGCAGTGCTGGGTAATAGGCTGACTGAAAGAGAGACAACTGGAACCCAAGGAGGGCATTCAGGTAGGTCAGTCTACAGGACATTTCCTTGCAAGTGAGCCAAAGCAGCTTCTTCAAGGGGTAGAAGAATGAGCTTACATCTGTACAGTGAGTTTAAGAGCAGAATCTATAGAAAGGATATATTAGACCAGGGCCAACAGAGAGCTCTATGTAGAAAGAAGTGCT